GAAACCTTACTCTGTGACGGTGGCTGAGGCAGAGATAACTGTAGCGGCACTAAACCAGAGTAGCCGAAGACGGAACGTTCCTGGACGAACACTATTGGCTGCGCAACCCTCGGGGGATGGAAGGATGCGCACCCCTCAAGACCGAGTTACCCCAGGGTACACAACTCAACCCTACCACCTCCAAAGAATGGTCTCAATGCTCGATATGCCTCTTGGGCAACGTAAATGACGCACTATGCGCCGACAGATGCAAATCTGTACTGGGCCGCATCGACAACACACTATTGGACCTAGGAACGACAAGAATTCGTCCCAAAAGCACAAGGCCTACTATTCGACGTAGTGTTCATTGCAGTACTCAAGAAACACGTGAATTCTTCTGGGCGACAGGTTCCAGATCGTATACACAGTCCTCATATTTCTCCCATCTACTACACAAAGGAACCCATCCGCTTCATCTACTAGTGTGTCAACCTACATAACTAACTGTTTCCAATATTATGACCGGCAACCTGTCTCTGTTTTACAGAATTGGGAGACGACTACCAAAGTCACCTGGGTTCTCCAGACAGTACAAGGCTATGTCATAGAGTTTTATCACAGCCGTGCAGGTCGCCCCTTCACCTCCATTACGCACACTGGCGGAACAGGAACGCCTCGTGGACAAGAAAATCTGCACCCTCTTCAGGAGGGGCGCAATTCAACATGCACCGGAGGGGAAGGCTTCCCCAGCAAATTTTTCCTGGTCAAGAAGAAGCCAGGAGACTACATCAATGGAACTCCTACATGGTATACAAATGCTGCAAGATGGAGGAAATTCATCTTCTACAAGACCTCCTAGGCGATAACGACTGGTTTACACATCTGGACCTCAAGGACGCACGCCTTTCAGTACCCGTTGCCCTGGACTGCCAAAGTTTTCCTCCGATTCCAGTGGTGAGGACAAACACGGCAGTTTACGACTCCGTGGTGCTCGCGAACCTACTGTAACCAGTGAGGGCACACATCCGTAAATTTGGGCGTGCGATGCCTCGTATACCTGGAAGACTTGCTGATTCTTTACGAATCCAGGCTACGTTTGCAGACAAATTTGTCGTTCACTTTCGGGACTCCATGGGTTTTTTGTTGTACACGGACAAAGATCGCTTCTCCATCTGAATCAGGCCAGTTCCTCGGTTTTGACATCGGCTTGGAGAACTACGTTCCGCGTCCGTCCGGCAAAGAGCGCCTCTATAAGGATAGCTGTCGGATTGTGGGATTCCTCTCCTCCTCTCCTCCTCCATACAAGCGTTATTCCCTGGCCCACTACGACTGATGGTGAGATACTCATACAACCACTGGATCCCACTGTCAGCGGAAGTGAGGATGGAATTTCGATGGTGATTACTTCACATACAAACTTGGATTGGCAAAACGATCTTTGACTCTTCCTTCGGATACGGGGTGATGGATGAACCCCTGCAAACGCGACCCAGCCGTTCTCCACAATAGCAAGGGTGCTTCGATACACACACACACCCACAAGATATCGCTCCTGCTCATGACACCCCTCGGGCAGGGCCAACCGTGATTTCCCGGATCGCCTGGAGATGTCTCGCGAAGACCCTCTACTACTCCCTACCTTCCCTCTACTTCTGCCTGTACGGCTTCAGGGGCTCCTGGTCAGTTCACGACCTATTGCATCAACTAAGACCTCCTATGGGACTCATAGGCTCCCGGCACCAGGAAAAGCTATATTTCTGCCTGGTCGGCCTGGAGTGATTGGTGTGTGGAAAGGGATTCCGATCCCTTTACCGCACCTGTCCCACTGATCCTCAACTATCTGTCACACCTGGTCTCGTTGGGTCGGTCATATCGATCCCTCAACGTGATCAGATCCGCCATGTCGGCGGCGCACGTTCCGGTACAGGGCAGACCAGTAGGTCAAGATACACTGGTTTGTCGACTACTGCGGGGTGCCGAACTGTCGAGATCCCTGCACCCAAATATTCACGCCTCTGGCAGGTGGATGTGGTGCTGAGATTCCTTAGGGATTGGGCGGACAATCCTTGTTTGTCACTGAAGCAACTTTCAGCCAAACTAGCCCTCTTATTATGCCTCGCCTCATTTAGACGGTGGCGGACGTTAGGGCTTGCGATATGGATGGTTTCTCTCTCACACCAGACGGGGTTACCTTTACCATGTCGAGACGAACTAAGTCGGATTCGTCTTCAGTGTCATACCCATGCTTTGTGTTAGACGCCACACTATGCGTGGTCAGAACGCTAATGGGGTACACCAATATCTCTACCCCCTTCGAACTCATTCGACGGATCACCTTCTGACTTCTTAAGTAAACCCTCATGGACCGGTGTCTACCGCAACACTGGCCAGATGGGTCCGCTGGTTTTTGTCTTTAGCGTCGAACCTTGTTTCTGCGCCCACTCGGTCAGGGGAGCAGCGGCCTCACAAACCTTTTCGGCCGACGCTTCCCTAGCCGACATTATACGCTGCGCGGACTGAGCGCGAGAGAGTACGTTTAGAACGTTCTATTTTCGGCAAACATCTCATGCTTCCTTCACATTGGTCAATTCAAAGCTTTAAAAATGCAAATATGAAACCTCCTGTCATGTGGTAAAATTGAAGATTATATTAGCTTTAGTGTACTAATAATCTTAATTTTAGTAATGACAGGAGGCGAATATTTCCCACCCTATAGGATCCCTCCCATGTTTCTCGTGTTGAACAGAATATGTCCTTTATGTTCAGGAAGGTAAGTACGTATGGTTTGTATGTTTGCTACTTAGACCTGTATCTTGTGGGTCTTGTATTGGCTAAATATTAGACATGAACCTTGCATTATGTTGTGTTTATAGATTCTTAAATATCATTGCGTTAGAATAAATATATATTGATATGTTTCACATTCTAATGTTCGTTGGTATATCAGATGCTTAATGCTTATTGTATGCGGATAAGTTATCACGCCAGATACCTTTCACCTTTTTCTTTTTCTTGCAGCGTGAACGTCTTCTCATCGAGACAAAGATTCACCTTCCATACCTCTGCATCGCGGAACTAATGGAGTTGGATATTCTAATATGTTGTTGAACTGTTGACGTAATATGATTATGTCTTTTGTTGTTATTTATTGTTTCGCTTCAAAGAAAGAGGAAGTGATGTCATAGACAGGGCCTTTTATGGGCATCATAACTTTTTTCTGATTGGTTGTTATGTTTCTATGCTGCTGGAGTTTTCAGTAAAGAAAGATATGCAAATATTCACCTCCTGTCATTACTAA